GAGTCAAACGAATAAGAAAGGAGTCAAACGAAAGAGAGGAGTCAAACAAAGAAGAGAAGGTATATGGCCGGCACCAGTTCAGATGCTCCACCCTGTTTCCAATTGCTTTGATCCCGTAACACATTAGACGTAGTATATTTATAGTTATAAAACTACACATATATATATAAATAGTTATTTATGCGTCATGAAAAGTCATAGAGTGATGAACAGATAAATGAAATCGAACCCTCCGACACAGTAAGGGCTTATCCCGCATCTTTGAGCGCTCAAACAGCTTTTCCTTGAGCCGGCCATGGATGCCACCCCAGATCGAATGTCGCATTGCTCGGAGCTATCTGATTCTGCTTTGGGGTCCTCTTTCGAAGCGGCTTACGCCGAGTTGGATGGCGCAGAGGCTCCCCCATCTGCGGATATGGTGGCAGAACTTGAAAGTGGATTGCTACCAGTTTGCGGATTGGAGAGCCATGAGCGTGGAATTGTGTTGCTCAGAAAGTCATTAGCAGCTGGCCGTGATGAGCAGGACTGGATGCCTACCCAAATGAGCAGTCCAAGCCCTCGCTGGGGCGGGCAAGACGATTGGCAGCATATGCGGCCTTGCTTGCTGAAGCATTTGTTGCCCACATCGGCGGCTTTGCCGCATGATCTTGTCATCATTCCTGCTACTTATTTCAGAGACCCACACTTCCAAACGCCAAACGCCGAAGAAGATTGTGTTCTGGTTTCTGGAGGTGTGAGCAATACCTTCCACGAAGGTGCAACAGGTGGTTGCCATTTTATGCCTTTGCTTCGAGAGAAATGCAAGAGGGAATACGAAGTCAAGGCATCTTTATCTAGCAAATGGAGGGACATGGCCATGGCGGTGGAAGGGCGCATGGGGCACATAGCTTTCTTAGAAGAGAGGGTCCGGGATGCGGGCGATTGCTATTTCCACAGTGTGTTGCTCGCCTTGCACTTCAAAGGTGTTATCTTTCAAGTTGAAGAAGTTTCCGGGCCATTGATGGAAGAGGTTGTCAGTTGCCCCATGGGCGCTGAGTGCTCTACTCCGGGTTCCCAGCAGGTGCCAGCTGCCCAGACCGCAGGGGTGTGCTCTACTCCGGGGTCCCAGCAGGTGCCAGCTGCCCAGACCAGCCCGTCGATGGCCCGCACAACGCCCAGCCAAACACAATCTGAGCGGCGTCTAGCTTGTGATCCAAGAGGGCTATGCTTCGAGGACGCCTTGGCTGAGGAGGAAGTGGGAGACAACATCCTGAAGGACCCGGTTTTGGAGTTGCTGGTCAAAATCAAAGAGGCGACCAATGCTGCAGAGCTCGACAAGCTTTTGTTTCCGGATCGTATGTTCATTGATGCGAAGAACAAAGATAGTGTCTACGATCTGGTCAAATCCAACTTGAAGTTGGCTTGGGAGGACAAGAGGAACCATCGGCAATTGAGTGAAGAGGCGGACTTTGACGTGCGGCTGCGCACCGCGACTCCCATGGCTGAGGCCATCCACACAGTGGCTCGGGCCAAAGGGGTTGCTACAGAAGCCTTGCTGAGCTGTGTGGAGTGCAACATTGGCTTCTTGGAGGCGCCAGGCACAACCATCACCCACAACAAGCGCAGCAACCATGACATCAGCACTGGGAGCCCCGTGATCATCGGGTCCGCCTCTTCATCCAGGAAGAGTGCTTTGATCAAGATGACAGATGATTGGCTCACAGGCACCCCAGGAGCAAGCCCAGAATTTGCCGACAAGTCCGTGTTGACGACTGATTGCACCACCAAAGGTGTCAGAAACTGCTTGCAAGAGTTTGGAAGGTGTGGAGTTAGCACAGATGAGGCTGCTAACACGTTCGAAACCAAATTCTCGGACAAGGAATCTGGCATTCATTTTGTGTCTGTGACAAAGCTAAACACATGGACGCAATCTGAGTTCGACGGCAGTGCCACTGGTCACAGCAAGACATCCCTTGACAAGTACCAGTTCTTGCTCAAAGCGGCTGGGCAAACAGAGGTGGCCGAGCAAATTGCGCAGCCAAAAGTCCATGGCTTTCAGAAGAGGCTTAAGCAGGTGTGGTCCCTAGCAGCTAGCAGATGTTCACACCCACGATTCCCAGCATTGCCAGGCCAGCGAAGATCTGGTGGCTGCTTGGCACGCGTGGATGCATGAGCACTGGGCGGCTGGGCCGCCGCTCAAACTGGCGCTGGATGGGAGAGCGCTGTCCATGTACCAGGCTGTGAAGAGCGCAATTGCCGACTTCATGGCCGAAACCAAAATGCCAGTGGTCTACAAAAGCAAGTTGATGTTTTGGCACAGTGACATCCTGCGGGACTGCCACAAAGTATTCCGAGCGACTCAATTTCTGCAGTCGATGTCCAAAGCGCATAGTGCCCCCCCGTTGCAGCGGGAGTCCATGTCACTGGACGAGTTCACCTGCGCGCTTCACAAATGGATTTGCCAGGTGAGAACACACTTCGCCAGCTACAGGTTTGCTGCAGCCAAGCAAGAAGAGGCGTCTGTGTCCTCCGGGCATGCCAGTGCTGGGCATGCCGCAGTCTTGTTGGCAGTGGAGTCTTCGCTCCCGGAACCTACACAGGAGGATTTGTTCATGAAGAATTTGATGGCTCGTGCTCCTCACAACACATGGTTTACTTCTGCAGATGTCCGCTGCTGGTTGAAAAACAAGCGAGGACAAAGCTACAAGGGCAACTTGAGTGAGAAGATCGAGAAAGCAATTGGACACTTGGTCGACCATGGCCTCCTGGATTTGTATGAGCCTGAGACCCCACCAGCCGAAGGCAATACTGCTTCATTCACCGAGCGAGCTGCTAAACGGCATGGGTCATCATCAACGACCGGCAAGGCAGGCAACGTGGCAAAAAAACGCGGCCTGAGTGAGATTCAGAATGATGAAAAGGCTGACCAGGAGAAGCAAAGGCTGCGGCTGAGCGCAAACGACTTTTCTGCATGAGCCCCCAGCGCAAATTTTGAGAGGCAGCTTGTACTATAGTTGCGCGGACGACAAGTTTTGAACCTGGGTTGATGACCGGCATTCTCGAAAACGCGGAAAAAAGAGCTGGCGCTGTCGTAGCCATAGCCATTGCAAGCCCCAATTGCAGCATGTAGCGGTTCTAAGGTAAAGTGCCAGCCAAATAGAAAGTAGCCCCTTGTGCATACTGCGGGCCCTCGAGCATTCATGGCTTTGTGGCAGGAGATCACAATGTTCTCAGTGGAATTGGGCGATGAGCGTGAAGCATTTGTGAAGGTTCATCTTTGCGTCATGGGTGTGGAAAGCAAAAACTGACCAGGATCTTCGTTGCGCCTTCCGGCGTGATGCTGTGGACTTGCAAATCCCAGATTTGAAGGGTCAGGCGTGGAGGTTTTTCCGGGATGATCTTCAACGTGACATTGTGCCGGACCTCTGCTCATTCTACATCCGCAAGAACCATGTGGTGCTATGTCTGCGGAAAAAGAGGCGCGAGTCAGGCTATGAGGGTTGGACAGATTTGCTGGCGCTGGGTCGGCCCAAACGAAAGCGCACCGAGGAGGCTGAAGCCACAGAGCCAGATGATGAGGTCAAAAACTTTCTGGCCACCTACACCATCATGGCGACGACGATTTGAAAATGAGAGTGGGGCAGTGGGTAGCAATGGCCCGGGAGGCCTTGAGTAGGCCGTAGGTACAGTTGAGAGGATAGATGCTGATTTCAGCCAACGAAAAGGAGAGCTGTTACGTGTTTGAGCGATTTCCCAGCGTGATGCCGCGTGGATTGGCTTGCGCGTGTAGGGAGATGATTTCTGATTATAAGTTTCCTTCTAGGGCTCCATTTGCGGACAACAGAGCGGGATGCAAAACTGATAGCTAGAGCAGCTAGAGCAAAGTGTGCAGCTTGGGGCCTGGGGCGGATGGGTTTGGCTGCTTGCTAAGCATACCTGTGTGCTACACTAGGCGTGCCACGTGCCCACAAAGAGCAAACCAACAAGCAGTACACACACAGACTGTTCCAAACCATGCCCCATTCCCACTGCAAGTGTTCAGGTGTTCTCTGCAACTGTCACACACCCATGGCCCAAACATGTGTGTCCAACTTCAGTTTTTGTGGCGCCGCTATTTTGTTTAAAGTGATTACTTTTCTTTGGGCATTTGTTTTGCGTTTGCCACTTGTTCAAGTGTAATTTTCGCCGCCCACAGCTGCGTTGCTGCTTTTTGATGGCTGACAGCAGCTTGAAAGAGATTGAAGTTGAAGGGCCTGGACCAGGCAGTCTTGCTGAATGGGAGATTCTGTCTGACCCAGACCCTGCTGCTGACAATGAGTCTCCAGTGTTTTTGTTTCCGGTTGAGCGCCCACTGCCTAACAGCAGTGTCAGTGTGCCCGGCCCGGGAGACGAGGAAGAAGCTGTTGCTCCACATTCTGAGGACGAAGGTTCCAGGGATTCCACTATGTCTCCCAGTCTTACAGAAGATTCATTCCTGCAGCACTTGATGAGGACAATGCGCAATACTCGGAGGGCACTCACCTATGGCCAGGAAGTCTTGGGTTTTGGAGTTGAGACTTTAGCCAAAAAGTTGGTCAGGTTGGAGACGAAAGTTGATAGCCTTATGCTATCATGGAAGTGTGTGAAGTCCCAGGTCCAAAAGCTGATCGATGTTGTCAATGTTGTTCCAGTTCCGGCATCTCCGCGCCCACCTCGTGTACTTCCTGTGCGCCGTCCCCATCGAGTTCGAGTTGTGAAGGACATGGAGAAGAAACCAAAGGCTGGTGGCAGTGGCTGAGGTAAATGGCCTTCAGCCGCAGCCTCAAGCAAAGTGAGCATGTGTTCCTTGGTTGGAATCTTGGAAGGGCTACAGTGATGGGTCATGGGCGTGGGCCACTATACACCTGAAGGCTGAAGGTATGAAGAAATGAGGAAAATGTCGCGCATGTTGTTTGGTCAAGGTGTTTCACTGCTAGGCTAAGTTCACGGCAAGATGTGGTTTGTGTTTTTGTTAGATTTTCACACCAGTCTTGTACTGTACAGTGAACGCTTCACTGAATGATGCACTTTGGTCAGTCGATCTTACTCCTTTCTTATCAATTTTTTGTGGGTAAGCCACTGCAGTTTGCCTGTGCCTGCTTCAGAATTCAGAATCAAAGACAGTTTTCTGTACTCTGACGCAGCTTTTGGGTCTTCGGCGCCCGTGGGCTTTGTGTCCCACTTTTGTTTCTTGAGGCCTGGTCCGTCGGCAGTCAGCTGTGGTTTGTTAGCCAGTTGTGCAACCCTAAGACCTTTTTTTTCTCTCTCACACAGACACACACACACTCACACTTTGTGATCCTACACTACAGTCAAGGAACTGCTCCTTGCTACCCTTGGGCGCAGGGAGAGTTCGCTGGGAACTGCTCCTTGCTACCTTTGGGCGCAAGAGAGTTCCGAGTCGGTTTTGGCTTTTTGGGAAGTGCTGGCAGGTTCATAGCTGTATGTGTTGTTTAGCTGCAGTCTTTGATTGGTTAAATCTTTGTTCAATTGGTTTTGTTTTTGGATTCACCTTGATTGTTCCACACACGTCGCAGGCCCATGCCGGCAGCTGAGACCAGCTCAGAGTACACCTCTGCTTAGGGGGCATCCTATAGGTTTTCACTTAACTAGGACACGCTGTCTGCGATCAACATTTGGCCAGCTATGGAGGCCGTCATGACAGACCCAGTGGATGCTTTGGTTGCTTCCCTCAAAGCGGTCACCTCTATTGAAGTGTTTGAAGATGTTTTGTTTCCTGACCGCGTCTTTGAGGGTCTGCGCAACGACAGTGAAACTTATGACACCGTCAAAGGCAATCTGAAGATGTGTTGGGACGATGTCCGGACGCACAGGTAGCTGGCGGTCGAGGAGGACTTTGACATTCGCCTTGCTGCTGTCGGGCCCATCTCAGAGGCTGTGCACACTGTAGCTCGGGCCAAGGGGCTGCAGACCGAGGCCCTTCTTGCCTTCATCGAGAGCAACATTGGGTTTCTGGAAGCTGGGGGCACCACATTGTGTCATAGTCTGCGGGCCAAACATTTCATTTCACCGGGAAGCGCCGTGATAGTTGGCTCTCCCTCCTCAACCCGCAAGACGGCGTTGATTCAGCTGAGTGATGATTGGATGTGCGATGCGGAGAGTGCCAGCCAGGAGTTCAAAGACCGCTCCATCCTCACAACTGATAGCACCACAAAAGGCATTCGCAATTGCCTGAAAGATTATGGCCGCTGTGGGGTGACCTCCGATGAGGCTGCCAACACATTCGAGACAAAGCAGTCCGACCGGGAGTGCGGCATCCACTTCATATCTGTGACCAAGCTGAATACTTGGACGCAGAGCGAGCATGATGGGCCCACAACCGGCAATGGCAGCTTCACATTGAGCAACTACAACTTCATGCTAAAGGTCGCCGGACAGAATGAGATTGTGACAGGCTTGGATTGCCAATGTGCATGCTGACGCAGAAGCCAGGGCCAGCCTAGAGCAATTCCTCCAACAGGATGATGTTCTCACACACCCAATCTGGATGCAACACTTCCAGGCTTTGCCCCCCAGAGGGGTTGTTGCAAGATTGGCTAGGCGCCTCCAAATCTCGTTGAGCCCCAGAGCAGGGTTCTACAATTTCCGCACCCTTCAAGATTTCAAGCGTGAAATCAAAAGAGTCCGGAATTGGTATCGAAGAGGGCGACGAGAAGTCAAGCCATTGCGGTATAGGTGTCGTCGCATCATTCGTTTCCGTGCGCAAGCGCAGCACGCAAAGGCCAAGAGGCAACATGCCCCAAAGCGCAGCATTATGAACAAAAAAGTCAAGCTGCACTACAGGAGGCTCTTGCAGCCACTGCGTGTGCAAGGGTTGTGGAGATGGAGGCGGGCTGCCCTGGCCATGCTCCATGCTGGGCTGAGAATGCAATCGGGGACCGTTCCAGTAGAACGCCTATGGGCAATCGTGCAAGCTATGTTTCCAGCCCAAGCAAGAAGCATATCTGAAGAATGGTTCGTTTTCCTGTCGCATCTGGCGTTTCTCAGGGTGAACTACTTGCATTTCAACGGGCCAAGCAAGGTTGGGCGAAGCATGATGTGCTGCTGAAAGAATCATCAGAGGCCCTGTTGCACATTGCAATCAGTTTCAACCAGGATGACCGGAGAAGGACAGATCTATTGGCAGCTTTGAAAAAGCCTTTCCAGGCCGCAGGTCATGGTGATGCCGTATCGTTGGATTTAGATTCAGGGCATCAGCTTCTCGGCCATAAGAAACCAAGCAGCATGCCTCAAATACCTCGTGACAAGATGGTAGTCTTCCGGAGGATTCTGACACCCGAATGGAGTGAAGCTTTGGCAAGTGGCCAAAAGTGGGTGGAGGTTCAACGGTACAAGTCGCAAACAACCAACCAACTCAGCTTTGCAGCTCCACACAAGCTTGTCATCTTTGGGCCTTCCGGACCACGCTTTGGCGAAGTGCATGGCGTAGCCGTTCTTGCGGCTTCTGCTGTTAAAAACCAGCCGCCCCACAATGCCACTGCGTATTTCAAAATGATGGCTAGCCACTTGCATCAACCGTTTTTGGAACACCTAAAGGATTGCCTTGCTTTTGACAGTGTGGCTATTTTGCGTGTCCACGATCTGCGGTCAGAGAGCTTGACTTGGGCAAAGTTGGCAGACAGGCTTCGGGCGCAGATGCCGCGGCAAACGCAAGGCTACCCAGGAATAGGGGGTGAGTCAGTTTGCCAAGCCCTTTTGCGCGAGGTGGCTTCTTCACCCATCCACAACCGACCTGCAACAGCTCATTCTCATTGAAGGGAGCGACGAGGACAAGTTAACTGACAGGCAAACGAACAAAAAAAACCGGCTTATACAGCTTATACAATCATCTACTTTTTTGGTATATTTGGTAGGTCTTCATTTTTCGGGGCATGTCACTGAGGAGGAATCGGTACTACTTTCATTAAAGCTTTTCTTACTAGGCTCGATGGTTTTT